TAAACAAGTCAGATTGCCATTTACTTCAGTAATACTAGAGCATCTCATCCTTTTGATCTATTGCACATGGATGTTTGGGGCCCTTATGCTCACCCCACTGTTGATCATCATAAGTTCTTTCTCACTATAGATGATCATACACAGGATCACTTGGTTTCTTAATGCACATAAGTCAAAAACTATAATCCATCTTCGAAAATTTGTTTGCGGTCCAGAATCATTTTTTTGCTTATTAAAGTCATTCGATCAGACAATGAGGGGGATTTTTTTGACATTGCTTGTACTGAGTTGTTTACATCCTTGGGCATCATTCATCAAAGCTCTTGCGTCTACACCCCTCAATAGAATGGGTGGTGAACGCAAACATAGACACCTGTTGGATGTACTAGATTTTTGAAAATCCAAGCTGGAATTCCACTTCGTACTGGGTAACTGCATTCTCCTGCATGTTATTTGGTGAACAGGCTATCATTTCCTGTTTTAGGCACAAATCTCCTTATGAAATCTGATGGGATACCACCACCAATTGTCTCATCTTCGGTGTTTGGTTGCCTTAGCTATGCAACTCATTTTACATCAACAAATAAATTTGCTAAGAAAGCTATTCTGTCAATTTTCATGGGATACTCAACACTCAAAAGGGATTAGGCTGCTGAATTTGAAAACTCACATGTTTTGTAAGTGGAGGTGTGAAGTTTGTTGAGCATGTTTCCCATTTCTTTCTCAATCCTTTTTAGCAGATTTTCCTCCTTATCCTTCCTTTTCACCTGCACATTCTGAGGATATTGAGTTATCTTACAAATTTTCACCAATTAAACACCACACCACACTTCTCCACTTGACAATTCGCCACCTGATCCATCTGAATCTTCTGAGCTTGTCCCTTCTTCTGATACATCACCGCCTCCTATTCACCTCCAGTCCTAGAAGATCCTTAGGACCCCTAAACCCCCTATTTGGCTCACTGATATATCTCTCCTGGTGCTCATTATGCAATCACCAACTATGTTTCTTACAAGCATCTTACCTTCCTATCAATGTTTTCTCACTGCTATCTCTCGCATACATGAGCCTACTACATATGAAGAAGCTGTCAAGGATCCCAATTGGGTGGCTGTAATCAGGCAGAAATAGCTGCCTTAGAGGCTAACAAACATGGACTTTGGTTCATTTTCCACCAGCAAATCGCCATAGGTACAAATGGGTATTTAAAGCCAAATATCACCAGATGGTAGCCTTGAGAGGTACAAGGCATGGCTTGTAGCCAAAGGCTACAACAACAAGAAGTATCGATTATATTGACACATTCAGTCCAGTTGCTAAAATGGTGACAGTAAGGATGTCTTGGCTTTAGCATCTATTCATGGTTGGCCACTTATGCAATGGACGTGTATAATGCCTTTTTATAGGGGGTATTTTCGAAGAGGTTTACATGGAATTACCTAAGGTTTTCAAATCAGGGGGAGCCATTGGTCTGTAGATTGCTCAAATCCTTATATGGATGAAGCAAGCTAGCAGACAGTGGAATATCAAGCTGATAGACACTAATCAAGCATGGATATCAACAGAGCAATAATGACTATTCCCTATTTCTAAAAGGAATGGCAGTAAGATAGTATTTATTGGTCTATGTAGATGATCTTCTAATCACTGGAAATATCAGGAGATGCTACTAGACTTGAAAAATGTTCTACGAAGGAGCTTCAAGATAAAAGATCTTGGTGAGCTGAAGTACTTTCTTGGCATTGAGATTCTAGATCAAAGGAAGGGTTATTATGAGTCAGAGGAAGTATGCATTGGAGCCATGTCGAAGCTGGACTAGCTGATGCAAAGCTGCTAGACTCCACTTGAACAGAATTCAAAACTACTTCATTCGAATATGATCAACAGTTTAACCTTGCATCAGAGGATAAGCTGTTAGAAGATCATCCATTTATAAGAGGTTGATTGGTAGACTGCTTTATCTGACCATGACAAGGCCTGACATAGCCTTTTCAGTTCAAACACTTCGTCTACATGCATGCACCTAAGGAATCCCACTTAGAAGCAGCATTAAGGGTTGTCAGGTATATTAACAAAGTCCTGGACTTGGGTTGTTAATGCCATCAAGCAATGAAATGAAACTTGTTGCATATTGCGATTCTGCTTGGGGAGCTTGTCAAATGATAGAAAAGTGAGTGGTATTGTGTCAAGCTCGGAGAGTCTCTTATATCGTGGAAGTAAAAAAAACAGAGTACTATAGCTAGACATCTGCTAAAGCAGAATACAGAAGCATGGCAGCATGTGTATCTGAGATAATTTGGCTACTTGTTTTGTTATGAATTAGGATAGAAGGAATAAAGCTTGTGCTGCTATATTGTAAACAAAGCTGCATTACAAATAGCACCAATCCAATGTATCATAAGAGGACCAAACCATTGAGATTGACTGCCATTTTACAAGAGAAAAAAATCACAAGGGTCATATGCACAGGTCATTGCAACTGGAAATCAGATTGCAGATATTTTGCTAAAGGTTTAGGTGTATAGCAGCATGAGAAATTGATGGCCAAGCTTGGTATTAAGGACATCTACAAATGTCAACTTGAGGGGAGTGTTGAGTTTGTTAAGAAGCAAGTTGACAGAGGAGAAGCTGAGCTGGGAAAATTAGTTGGCTGAGTGTTGACTGGAAGTTTTAGTCAGAGTTTGTTAGTGTTTAGTTAGAGATAGTTAAACGGTTATTCTACAAGTTATATATATGTATATTGATGTACTAACGAATGATTATAAGAAGAGGTATTTCTTTTCTTTTCATTTGCTTTCAGTCTTCCAATTACTTTTGTTAACATCGGACATGAGCAATCTTTGAGCCATCGCGTCTGCAGCTTTCACTCAGGAGGACAGTCTTTAATCTTCAGTTTTCTGAGGGCAGTAAGGTGTTGGATCCCTTCTGGAAGAGATGACAACCTCCAGCATCTATAATTTCCAGCGTTTGAAGTGATGCCGTATTGCTTCTAAGTTGGGACAACTTTCAACTTCATGCACGTAAAGTGTTTGCCGATCCTTGAAGAATAGCTCAGGCAAATCCACTGATGTCGTTCCTACTTGTGATCAGTGGTTTTTCCTTTCGAGTTAACTGTTGTGGCTTGTTATAATTTTGTTCATATCTTGTTGAGCTGACCTTCAATGTTATATTTGTGACATTGCTTGTATATATGCCTAGTTATAAAAAAAATATATCAACGATGAACTGCCAAAAATCTTCAGTAAGATCATGAGTTCGACAGAAGGTGAGATAAAAGTAACTGTTTGAAGATGAACCGTTTTGGTGAGGCAATGATGGCCATGGTTGAAGAGTCGGAAGAAGAATGGTGGAAGACAAAGAAGAAAGAAGCAGACCACCTTGTCGCCAAGCTCTGTCACATGGATCTTCAGGCAACAAAGGCTTCTCCTTCCACAACTCATCTATGTATTCCAAATACCAGTGATCCAGCAATGGGTTTTTCATTGTGAACGAGCACAGGAACCTTCTTATGCACAGGATTAGATTTGAGAAGGATTGAAGTCCTGTTCTGTAAATCTTCTGCTATGTTTCATATTCAACCCCTTTAAGTTTGAGAGCTCATTCAATTCTAGTGCAAATAGGCTTATAGTTGACCCAATCAACTTCACTTCGCCCATGCTCATCAACTCAATTTGATGGAAATAATGTGAAGTGATTTGCTAATGGCAATGCAATAATGTTTAAAAAATATTATATTAATTCTAGCTGGTCGTTTTCTGCTTCAACTTTCAACAAGTCACTTTGTAGTTTTGCAAAATTCATAAACAAAAAATACCTAACCCCATTCTTGATATATAAAATTCACAGTAAGGTATGTTGTTAGAATACAGGATATTCATTGATCATTTCATCAACAAGGAAGCAGGATATATAAGCAATAACTAAATTTTGTGCAAAAATTAGCTTTAAAAACTCTTTCCACACATGTTTATAAGTTGGAATTTGAATCAAATTATTTGATTTTATAGTGTAGAGGAGAGAGTGACAACAATATTTTATAAAGATTTTCAGGAGAATGTTTTATTTCCAGGAATATAAATAGGGATTTGAGATGATCAAGTATAAATATGTTGCATAATTAGTTTTTGTTAGGGTGGTTGTGGTTAATGGTAACTTATTTTAATGTAAAAAATATGTGAAGAAATGCAGTTAATTAATTATTCTAAGTATAGTAAGGTATGTTAATATACATACATGTTCATTTATTCTATCATATTCATGCATTAAAAAAGTTGTTAGTGACTCCAAGCTCAATGATAACGTTGTTGTTGAAGATAATAATATGGTGGTTTTAGTTGTTCTACATTGATTGAAATAAGTGAAGTTGGAATTCCATTTTGTTGTCGATATAATCCAAATGTTGTCAGAATGCCTTACTCATGCTAATATTCCCTACTATAATTAATTAACTCCATCTATGTAATTTTCATATTATTAATGCTTATGTGTAATGGTGTGAGCAAACTCTTACAACCATATATATTTGATGTTACACCACATTTTATATATTATAAAAGCGAGAAATCTTAGTTTAGTTAATATATATGTCTTGAAGATGATAATCATGTATCTAGAGTTTGATTCATAAATCCATAATAAACCAAGTACAAGTTTTATTACAAAAAGACCCCTAATAAATACAAAATTTACATTCAATGCACCTTGGCTTGCTTAACTGGCTTACTCTTTCACTAATACTCAACTGCTGGGATTTCTTCTCCTATTCCCTTACCTTCACTCCCTTCTCTTCAACCTTCCAACCTCTTATTTCAAACTCCACGTCACAATCCCACTCTCCAGATATTTTCTCCTCAAATGATCTGCCCACAAAATTCCCAAACCTGACATTCCATACACTTACACATATCACCTGAATAACAATAATATTTGAAAATAGAAACACAATGACAGAAGTCGATCTGTCAAAGAAAGTCGCCGATAGGTACCTCAAGCGCGAGTGCTCGGTGAAGGTACAGACGGTGTCGTTTACAAAGCTATTGATACGAAGGTAAAGTCATGTAAAACCCTAGCCGTTTATTTCCGATTATATTTGTTTTGTTTTTTTTATTTTCCCTTATTTTGTCAGTTTGGTCGGTGATAGATTTAGCTATGAAGAGAATGGGTAATTTATGATGGTTAGCTTTTCATTTTTTAAGTTTGTCATTGCTTAGTTTTGAGCTATAGAAATGCAAAAGGATACTATACTTATTCGTTTCGGTTTATAAGAAAGGATTATAAGGGAAAATCATAACGGTGAATTTATTGTTTAGAATGTTTATTCAGAAAATTAAGCAACTCAACTGTGTTTTGTTATTTCTTTGTTGCCTTTGTCATGGGAAAGGAGTTCCTTAATGACGCTTATTTGAGTGTGAAGGCTCTGTTCAATTGATTAATCTAAGTATCATAATCAAGAATTTATGTGCCTCTTTCTAGTGAATTATTTTAATTTGGAAGACTGTTGAATGTTTTAACATAGTATAGGAGCTTGAGGTTTGGGGATAGGTGGTTGAAAGGGTAGAGAAAAGATGATGATTGGAAGGCCTTTTTCTTTTTTCATTATATATCTTTTCCCTTTCCCTAAATCTTCTAATGGGTGCCAGCAGTATTGCCAATTTACCTACTTCGTTCTCTTTTAGAATATCTTGTTATAAGTGCCAAAAAGATTGAAAACTAACGAGGAAGGCTTTTATGGGAAGGGCATGGTGGTGAGAAAAGCATATTTAGGTAGATGATAGTTGGTTTGGTGCCCTAGATGTTGGGCTGGTTTGAGGCTCAGCATCTTGGTTGAAGAGAATTGGTAGTTGTATTTGGTTTATGGGTTGAAGTAGGGATAGATTCGGCTGGACACTTGGTTTGGGAGTCAAGGACCTTTTCCACACCTGATCGGAAGCGCACGCTGTTATGATGAGAATGAGGGAGACGCGACACGGAAAACGGGCTTTAAGAATGAGTGTGAAAAAAAATAAAAAACATAAAAAACAGACGAAAAAGGTCTATCTGAAGTGAAGCTAGATCCACGAAGAATGAAGGTAATTGGACTACAATCGGATTAATTGAAAAAAAAAGTATTGCTCTTTCCCTTATTTCCAATAAGATTAGCCAGTAACTTAACCAATATAAAATCACTAATCAAGTAAAACCTATATAATGATACTATGACTTTGATTTTACAACTTAGTGCCAATTGTTCAAAATCCTTTTATCTTGATGAAAATTTAATGGTTTTTGAAATAAAAAAAAATGTGTTTGGTGTTGCAGACAGGACAGACAGTTGCAATCAAGAAAATTGGGCTTGGAAAGCAAAAGGAGGGAGTGAATTTTACTGCACTAAGAGAAATAAAGCTGCTAAAAGCACTGAAGATCCAACATTATGAGTTAAAGTACAGAAATTGGCTTCAAAGAACAATTTGAATAGATAACACAGACAGAGAGAAAGGGAGGGACACTGTATTCTAAATCATACCGCTACTGATAGGATGCAGGCTCCATCTTGGGTACAAACTCTCTCCTTACAAACCTTAATGGCTTTTCCTGTTTACAATCGACCACATTGTCAACCACATAACATCAGATTCTCACAAAAGAGAAAAAGGTCGGAAGCTGATGGAAGCATAAAATTGCCACCATGTAGAGCATGAATATGGTTTGGCAACAAATAAAGTTTTAAAATTGTATGAAAGTTTTAACTCGTGCGCACCAGCTAACTCCAATGAAATACAATAATAAGAGACTAATGCACATAATGGAAAGACAACCTAAGAGTAGCTAGAACAATCTCATCATCTGTCATTGGGATACATATCTCCAAACAACTGGGAATAAATTAGGTTCATTTGCCAAATTGATATGAGGAAACACTCACAAACAAATAAAAATCTTTCTTTATATACAGAGGAAACCAACTACGCCATTTTGGTCAGCTAAAATGAAAGAAAAGCGAACTCTTAGACTACCTTAGGTCTATGAACTTGCCTAAGTTTTGTAGCCTTTAAACCCACAAAAGCTTCCAACTCTCCAAAGTTCTATCTGCTTAATGACTGTTCCCCTACAAAATATTATTTTTTTACCTCCGTGGTATGAAACCAGAATTATAAAAGTTCGCCAAGTTCATCCTCAAAAGGAATGCTCTGGAACCCAAAGATGAAGACTTGTCAGGCCCAAACAAGAAGTCATCTCAAGGGCTAATTTTTCTGTACGCTTAACAAATTTGAAAATATGGTTTTCGATTTCCTCGTTCCTTGTACTTCAGTGATTTCAATTTCAATAGTTTCTCTAGCTGCATTTCAATCAAAATCTTTCATTCCAATAGCACCAAATTGAACTTTAAAGTAATTTCTCCCATCAAATTGAACTCTCTCTGTTAACCATCATCCAAGCATACCAGTACCAATGGAATACTATCATCTTTCCCACTGATTTATACGACTAGCAGACAATACAGTGAAAACTACTAACAAAAAAATTCTTGCGCAGATATCTGGGTTTTTGGAGACACTTGGTGGTACAGAGTCTCCTGGCAGAACTTGGATGTTGATCTTCACTGCCGAAGTTCGTTACTTGCATTGCTTTCTCTTATTGATTATATATGTGACTTAGAGTTTTCTCATTAGTTAAATTCTTCTTGTTATCATTTATATCTTGTAGAAGCAATTAAAGGGTGGTCGCTACTTTCCTATTACAGCCTTCAGAGGTTTGACGCTGCTGTAAGCATCTCTTCCTTTTTAACTGATTCAGATTGGTTTTCCATTGTGCAGAAGCACCGGAACCTTCTTGTGAACAGGATTAGATTGGAGAAGCAGGTTACTCTTCCTTTTCAAGTTTCTTCTATATACTCATATGTTATACCCTTGAGCATTAAAGCCCATTCAATTCTAACACAGAATAGGCTCGGCGAAGCTCCATAACTTTCCCCTCTTCCATTTTTGAGATATGAAAATCATTGATCAAACCTAGTTTCTAAATACTAAGGGGTTCTGAAAAGTATGCATTTTTGTGGAAAAGTATAGCAGTATGTTTCTTGGAAAACACACAACTTTAACACTTATATACCTTGGTCAGGATGGGATGGTTGAGAAATTGTCGATGCTTTTCCTGTGGAAAGAAAAGAATGGCATCTCATTTGGATAGGTCCAAGCAACAAAACAAGCCATGAACTAGAATCTAAAGAGTGAAGATCCAACTTATTGCTTTACTTTGGGTGCAAGGCGAATGGAATGGAATTGGATGAAGCTGTAGAACCGTTCATGAAGCAATGATAACTTAAATTGATCGTCTACAACTATGGAAAGATTATATGAAGAGAAATCAAGAATTTTGATGTCAAAAGAACCCAAGTAAGGTATTGAAAATTTATGATAGATACAGTCCTATTCTTATTTTAACGTTACAGTTTTACTCATTTTATAATTCAATGTCTATAAGCAGAGATGATTATTATCGCTCAATTATATTGAGGGATTGAATATTTTATAATAAACCATGAACCTTTAGTATATTTCTTAAATACATTCTCATAAATACAGGTTCATTTTGTATCACAATTTTTGTAAATGAATATACATTATACATAATATATATTCCTATTCATCATGAACTAAAGCCCTTTCATTTGTAAATATTATTAAGTTCATTAATGATAGTTAATTGGCCGTAATCTAAAAACCGCTCTTGCAAACAATAGTCCTCACAAAGTTTAAGAGATAACACTGCCCTCATATATAAACCACTTCAAAATTAAGCAAACTTTTAAACTCTCTCCAGTCAGTCATATTACAAATCAAGAAGATAAGAAACTCTTTCAACTCTGTGCGGCGGTTTTCTGATTTTTTTTCAGTTAAATCAGAGGGTTTAAGGATAGCAATAATGAAACTGTTTGTTTGAAAGCCATCAATCCTAAGCAGACAAAGCTTAAGTTGGTTCTTCATTAGATCATAAAATTGATAGGCAAAGAGATACTTTTCCACAAAATTGAAATAGTTGAGAAACTTTCTTTGCATCAACCATTCATGAGCAATTCAACTTAACTCTGCATCGGCCAGAGAGGGATCCTCTGTTCTCTCTCCACCCAAAATTGTCTCCTTCAACGCTTCTCGATATATGTAAGTTATTGAAAATAATCACATATTCCGGAATCCTAGAGGGTATACAGTAATGTCCCCCAGCAATATTCAATTCACATTTCAGTTGAGATAAAAAGTTGTGATATTGAGTAGAATTAGTTATGGTTAACAGCTTTATAAGTAAAAAAGGTAATACAAATTATTCTCAATTCGACCTCTCTAAATCATTGGATTACAATGAATACGTGATTTTATTGAACCTGGTTTTACATTCAAGCCTTACAGTATAAACAGGTTCTACTTCCCTTTACATACACAATGCAGTGCATTTATTTTGCATCTCGGATTATAGTTTACACAACTTAAAAGACTTTAGCGTCACTTTGAATGCTGAACAACATAACTGCAATACTAAAGGTTGTTGTGACAACTTATACAAGTTTGAACTAATCATTAGAAAATTGGTAATTGAATGACTGGACAAGCGCCTTTGTAATTTTCACAGCCTGGTTAACTGTATTCACAAGTAAAATAAAAATAGACTAATAAATCTATATTATAATTTATTTTTTTGGTAAGTCTGGATCATAAGAAGGAGATTTATTAACAAGAAATAAAAAAAAAAAATAAAAGAAAAAACACTCGGAATAAGAAGAGTGTGAAACTTTGACACCATAATGTCATGGTACAAGAGAAAAATAAATATTCAAGCATGCATGCATTAGAAACAATAAATACAACCAACAAATGAAAATAGAGAGAAAGAAATTGGAGTACTGTGAACCTGGAACGGAAAACTTGCGGGAATCATGATGTAGGTCTTAAAAAAAGGAAGAAGCAAAGAGCCGCCACCAATGCATTAGCAAGAGAATCTGCTATCACATTTTCTTCACAGAAAAAAATTATTATGTGAGGCATTTATTCATCAAGAGAACCTCTTGACTGAGCAATCTTCGACTGATCGCGTCTGCAGCTTTCACTCAGAGCAGGACAGCCTTGAATCTTCAGTTGTCTGAGGACAGTAAGGCGTTGCATCCCTTCGGAAGACATGACAAGCTCCGGCAATTTAAAATCTCCAGTGTTTGAAGTGATGTGAGATTTTGCAGCCCTCCGGTAGTTCTTTTAGTTTGAAAACTTCAATCATTATGCACTGTAAGGTGTTTGCCGATCCTTGAAGAATAAGCTGAGCAAATCCACTAACGATGGCAATTGTAATTATAAATTTTCGAACTCCCAAGCAAAGGTTGTCTTTATCTTCCTTGAAATTCCATCTTCAAGTTAAGCTCTGAACAGATATTGAATACTACCTTCTCTATCTCTTGAGATACTTGATACTATATGGCAACGAGTCAGGGGACAAATTGAATATCCAATCTTCGGAGGCTTGTGAGACCTTGCATCCCTTCAAACAGTCTTACTAGATTCCTGCAGCCAGATAAGTTCAAAATTTAAAGAACTCAAACATCCGATTCCATCTTCTGGTAGGTACCGCTCTTTTGTGGTTATTTCCTGTGCCTGAGGGAGATCATCCTTCGTATATTCCAGGCAACTTCTCAAGCTGATTACAACCAAAAAGTTTAATGTCTCCAACTTCTGAAGCGACAAATAGATTCAGAAGTTTCTTCAATAAATTATTATATTAGTCAAGTATCTCAAATGTATCATGTTACCGACGAATTTGGCAAGACTTCAAAACTTATCTTGTTTAAGTATAGCAGTCGGAGGTGCTTGAATTTGGATATGCATGTATCATAAATGACACACCAACATGCTTGTAATCTTGCAGAAAAATAACGGACCGAGCGGTCTTTGATATATTATCAAGAACTCCTGGAGATTTTTGATGGTTGAAATCATGTCAATAATTGAAAAGTGCCGAACGCTCCATCAACTATTTGGCTTCGATTTCATAATAGCACACTCACTTTTTGCCACTGATATTGCAAGATCATGCATAAGATCGCATTTTAAACCGATAAAATAAATGATGATGTTCCGTAAAATCCTCTAAGAAACACCTTGAGCATAACTCCTTCATACAACGCACAGCAACATCTTCTAACTCTTCAATATCATCATTAAAGGTTCAAGGATCCATGTGCCATCCAATGTCGGTCACGTAATCACTGTCATAGATATAATCCTTTGGAAATAAGGAAAGATAAGCAAAACATTGCTTCAGTGAGACGGCAATTTCATAGCTCAGTTTCAATACTGGTAAGATGCCTTCCTTCCTGTTTCAGCTGCCAGGAGTCACTTCTTTTTATTCTTAACCACTCATCTTCATCCGTG